AGGGAAGGAGCAGTGATATTTCTAAGTAAAATGGTAGATATGACAGGCAGTTAATATAGTACACAGCAAGTTAAGTACGACAAAGTAGAAGTGAGGTTCATACAAACAGAGAAGGAATGTTCAAGATTGCCGAGAATTGAGCACTGAGGCAGATGGGGAGACGGTAAAGAGTAAGTGAACAAGAGAACTCAAATAAGATGCTGCGAAGGTCACTCACTATCGTGATCACAGATATGTAGGAGCTAGTGTAACAAGTAAGTTTTTAAATTCTGGGTTATTTCTCTTTGGTCCAACTCCTCTCACTTGTTGTTTTATGTACAGCATACTAATATGGCCTAAGACTATGACCTCCATCATTAGTCATTATACCAAGAATTATATTTGGTCATGTTTTATTTATAAAACTTTCTTTTAAAAAAACTGCTGCAATTTAAGAGAGTTTTTAAAATGCCTTTATCCTCACTTTATAAATATGAGAATAGGAAAGAAAAAAAAAACTATGAATTTTATATTATCCTAGGATGTACAGAGAAGACAAGCCAGTGAAGACCTTGCCTTATCACATTGAATAGAGCAACTGCAGAAGCAATTTGTTACAAGCAGATGGATAGTTGAACACTGAAAAGGATGATAAACTAGAACAAAATTAGATATTGAAATCAATTTCTTTTAGGCTTACCATGAAACTTCAAATTTACACAAACAATTGTATTTGAAGAAGTCAGAAAAAAAAAAATGCCATACTAAGATGGGTGCCCATGAAAACAGAACTTTACACATGCTATAGCCTTTATAGCCACCATTTACTTGGTTGGTCCAAATATTTATAGTTCATTGTTATGACTGCCAAAACTGGCAACCACAAGGATTGTTGTCTCAATTAGGACAGTAAACAGATTGTCTCTTTTTTTAATGAAAAAATCTAAAATGTAATACTTCACAGTTTAACATGTTTATTCATCTAAACGAGCTAAAAAATAATGGTGCGACATCTGTTCGAGAGGCATTGGTACCTCAAATTTTGGCTGCCTCCCCACCAATTTGGTTGTTGTTTTAAAAAATGAAGAATAGGAGGGGGTACTGTCATCAAAAAATCTTCTGGCATGTAAAGTATCTTATTTTTCTTGAAATAAGGATCTCATGTCTGCTGCTAGGGATAAAAAAAAAATTTTGTTTAACAAGGAGGCACAATGCTGAATATGACAGCAGTTCAATTGTTTTAAATACATTTACTGACCCACTATAGATATTTCCACACTGGTACAGTTCTTTAAGCAACTCTCCCTGTTCCCTCTATATTTACCTGTATAGCTAAAACCTATACAAAATAGCAAAGTGTTTCTGTAGGCACTGGATTTATCTGCTACGATATTTTCTGTAGGCTGTACTGATTTTAGATATGGTGTCAGTGGAACAAAATCTAGCAAACATCCTCACCAGACTGCACTGGAGCAATTCTAATAAAAGAAGGCAGTGCTGCCAAGGGAGAAAGTGTGAATCTCCCCAGAGAAGCCTCAGGTAAGTGGAGGGAAGCCTCACTGCTGGTAACAAGAAAATAAAAGCTTATCTTAGACAGCCTCTGGCTCAGTAACCTTATTTATAGATGAAATAAGTTAACATTCAAAATCTGTTCAATTTCTAGAAGTTTATTTCTGAAGCTTATCTAAAGTATAACTTGATCTACTGAATTATCATGACTATATAATTTCAGAATCTGGAAAAATAGAGCATCTTCATTTTCACATAAATATAAGCATTATAATGAAAATTTAGTTTTATTTTCAGTAAGAGTGAAGATTTAGACTACGTTAATTTATAACAACGAATATGATTTTGAACAACGCTTAAGATCAGAATAATGTATTCCTGGAAAAGAGCAATATTTCTGTTTTACAACAGATCGAATGCTAGTTGTCTTGATCTTTAAGAACACCAGGATTAAATGTATATGTGCCCCAATACAAACAAAGATCATAAATGCTAAATGCTGAGTTGAAAAATACTGTGATTTTAAGTTTTATTTATTAAATGCAAATAATTTTAAACCATATATCACATGCAAAAACTGCACCAGGCTTTGAGAAGACTAAAAGAGATTAATTTTAACATGCATTTATTAAATATACACAGATCACTACACTACTGAAATTACAGAAATGAATAAGAATATATTCTCAGGACTTTGTAATCATCAGTTGAAATGGAAATATTTCTATTTTATGAAAAATTGAAAAAGATTAGAAAATCTTCAAGTATTTTGTCACCTTAAAACAACAAACCTCACACTAGTACTAAAATAGGCTTTTAGTACATTTGTTTCAAAAGAAATTCTAGATGAGGTAATATTTTTACATCTCCTCTCAGATGAATTTACATTTTCTTTATTTTGCATGCAAGATAAAATGCAGTAACCATTTTCACTTCATTCACAATATTTCCTAGGTTGTACGTTAAGTCCAGCTGCATTAGTTGAAATTATTTTTTCCTGCAGAAACAGCATGTTAAACAGATTGAAACATTCTGAAAAGTAATTACATTTTTCTGTTTTTGTCTTCTGAATTACTCTGAGTGATGAATTGTTACAGGGGAAAAACCCACTCCTAAAATTTGTCTGGTGCCAGTCTCAGACTTACACCAAATACCCCTCACTATTCAAAAATGTAGTGCCCTGAAGCTGTAGGCCGGATAACACCTCTGCCTTCAAAGATTCAAACTAGAATTCAACCTGGGATTTCTCTATAAAAAACTGCTGCTTTCTAACTAAGGTGAGTTTGAAAAATGTGGACTTCACAAAAATAGTGTTTTGTAAACATACACTGTCTCACTTTACCTGCTATTTATTAAAGTCAGAATTTAGCTCTTAGAACTTACTATAAGTCAGTCAGTCATACAAACAGACTAGCCATAGACTCAGAGTATTGGTAAAACTATGTAATGAAACTTGTCTATAATCATAATGTGTTTAGCCTAATATTCATTACTATCAAAAACATTTTCTCCCAAAGAATACCTCAACGGTAGAACAGGATAATAAATTATTTTTTCAGGGGAATGAATTTTCAAACATTTCTAAGAGTATAATCATGTATTTTAAATACTATAAATTCTGTTATATCTCACTTGGATAGGTATATAATAAACAAGTATTATATATCCTTGCATTTAAATTACCACTGAAATTAGAAATAATCTTTATTTAATATGACTGCATTTAGCACCAGATGGGAGGGAAAATAACTAAATGAAAATTGTTCACGTAAATGTGATAGGAGTAAGGGAAAATAGTATTTCTTGACATGTGGCATGTCACTCAGGAAAGTAAAAGACCCATCATATCCAAAATGCCAGCTTGGATATTCCCTTGCCACCCACTTCACAAACAGACATACCACATGGCATTAAATGCTGCAACCTTTCCTAAAAATGCCACTTGGATTGGTCCACTATGGTAAGTGTATAGGAACTCTTGGTCTGTCTCTTAAGTTTGTGATTTCAAGGGGAAGAATCCAGTAAACAGCATTGGCTAAATTCTGCCCTCAGCTGTTTGACATAAAGGATCTATGAGGATACTGGATCTTTTGGCTGTTTTCACGCTGATGAAATAAATTATACTACTTGAAAAAATTCTATAGAACAAAATGCTATACAGCCACATTCAACTATCCGCAAAAGTCTCAAAGATATTTATAAAAACTTTGTTCTCTTGGTGAGTATGGAAACAATCTTAACATTTTATTTACTCTTTATAAATACACTATAAATCACCCTATGAACATGTTGCAAACTATTCATTTTCTATACATATTTATATAAGGTAGTAACATATTTATATAAGTGACTCTGGTGTGGACACATACTTTTCCATTTTCTAAGCTTAATGTATTTGTGTGCTGTAAAAATATTTTAAAAATTGATTACCAGTAAAAAATATTGAATACATTAGTCATTATAACCCAACAAATGTAAAATACTTTGAAAAATCATATAAACAAAAAACTCCATATGCAGGTAATATAAGACACATATTTTCTTCCATTACTTTTCACAAAAGAGTCTTAATTGATTTAATTCCCAAGAGGCAAAGCACAATTTTGTAAAACAAGTTTGCATTGTTCAGATATGAGACAACCCAAGAAAGTGTTTCTGAGTAGGTAGGTCTTCTGCTATTACTGTTGTGTGAAAAAGACTGCACAATTAGATGACAGATTGTTACTCCCTAACAAGAGGGGCAAACTGATACAGCAAGCAGCCAGAACAACATAATTAAAAAAGGATTCCAAGTTTATATTAGTAGAGTAATAAGTTAATTAAAATCAAGATCAACTGAACTTTCTATTTACACCAGTTCAGACAGCCAAGAGGAAAGGAACTCTATTTTAGAGACATATGTGACTCTTTGAGCTTCTGTCATCCAGGTGCCATTTCTGATGGAGCACATGTGCACCGAACAGTTGGCAAAGAAAGAGAAAAATTACTGTAGATGTATGTGCAGATAGTCTAATGATATAAAATACGTCTGGAAAGAAAGCAGGGCTTCTTTGTAAAATGAAAAATTTCCCATGACTTTTCATTCCTTTTTAGGCGCTGAATGTGACTAGAGAATGCTTCTGGAAATGAGGATATATACTTCTACTCATGATATATACGGAACAAAATAGAATTGGTAATCTGCAAGTGATGGACTTATACACATAAATTGCCTAAGACATCTGAAGAATTTAGGATCTGTTTCCTATTTTATCAAAATGCACCATGAATAGGTTGCCTGTCAAAGTAGAAAGATTTATAAAAGTATCTAGTAGCACACATATTATACTACATTGCTAGGAAAGGTTCTTTTCTTGATATCCTACGCAACTACTTAAAAAGATATTTCTGCAAACTGAAAATACCAGCAGAAAAAAATTCAAGACCTTGCTGTCTCAGTACTTCAGAAAGTATTGGTCCCTAGAGGTGCTTTTAAAAAATTATTTCCTTTTCATGCATTGATTGCTGCTCAACTAATCTTCATCTGGTTCCAGATCAGGGTCAACATCTGAGGACAGTCTGAGATAAAAGAAAGCATAGAAAGCCAGCAGGAGGGCCAGTATAGCTGCCAGCACAAGGCCAACTTCCTGAGGAGGGAAAAAAAAAAAGCAAATTTGAAATTCATGAAATGAGATTGGTTAACATTATCAGTTTCATGAGATTAAAAAAAAAAGTTTAGAATGATCACATTCTTTTGTTTAACACTTTGTCATTAAGCGAAGAAACATTTTATGGTTGACAATACCTATAATAATGGCAAGACATCAGTGGGTGGGCTTCCCTGGTGGCCTGGAAAATCCCATGGACAGAGGAGCCTGGTGGGCTAGCAGTCCATGGGGTCGCAAAAGAGTCAGACATGACTTAGTGACTAAATAACATCAGTGGGTATAATATGAATATATTCATACCTGTTATTACTTTCATTTAGCCTGTGTCTTTCTAATAGTAAGACTAACATAATTTTAATATATTTTCATAGTTTAGATATCAAACTGCTGGATGCAAGCAGTATAGTTTGTACCTACACAGTTTATCTTGCTCTGTATTTCTTGCTTCAACACATTTATTATTATTATAGCATTTGGATACAGACTCTAAAATGATCACTCCTTCTCTAATGGGAGGAAACAACTAGAACAAGTTTCTAGATTACGTCTCTGCACTAGTGCCACCTGGGAAGCCCACAGACATCCTTATTAAACATTATTTTGTTAAAACTCTTATTTTTAACTTCTAAATTCTATAGTTTACAACGTGGCAGAATGAAACTGAACACTCTTGGATCATGAAGCGTGATATGATATGATAGAATTATCACAACTATGAAGGATGGTCCTGGGTACTTCATTTAGTGATCTGATGCAGATTATATTGATGATGTTGAAATAATAGCCAAGAAGTTTACCACATACACAACAGCAAAATCATATTATTTTTTAGAAAATCTATAAACTTTTTGTATTGATACATAGACATACCATGAAGGAATTTTCTCAATGTTAGCATATCACTTGGCTAAACAGAAAAAAGGACAAATAGTGCCAGTACAGTATCCTAAAGGGCTTAAATATTCCCTTCTAATTTTCAATTTCATATCACACACCTTCCTTATACTATTTTATGGAGAAACAATTTATTTGCACTTAATACAAATGTAGCTTTCATATGTCACTTAATAAAATTTTAAAGACAATAAAATCAATTTGGTTTATAATAAACATGTCATCTTTACCTGAATTTTTAAATTACAAGAGGATATTTTATATAGATTTTTAGCTTTATAATAACATTTTTTTGGATCTGAAAACTTTAAAAATAAATATTAATGAAAATCATGGGGTTGAAAGATTCAGTGTCAACTATTTTTGTAAGATTTGATTTCTAAATCTACTTTAATGAAGTCGAAACAAAACAAAAATTACCCTATCAATATAATGTCAAATCAAAGTGAATTTTCCTCTGTTGCAGTTGGAATACTTTGGCATCTCAAAAGGGCAGGCAGCAGCAGACAGGTTTCATTTATTTTCTTGTATCCACAGCTGTGCTCCCAGACCCATCTGGTTACACAGCTACTAATTTTAAGAGGATGTAATAAACAAGTGACACACAACTGCAAACTCCATCTGTTCCATGTAGTGGACAACAAAACTGTTCCACAGCAGTCACCATTCACATTAGCTTAACACAAGAATAAAGTTTCTACTCTCCATTGGAGGCCATGGTCTTCATTCTCACTGATAATCACCTCTAATTGCTGCTTTTCAACTCCTTCTTATCCTTTCAAGCAACAGTGTTTCACCTTCCTTGTACATTTTTAGAATATCCAGAGGCATAAAAAAGAGGTTTAAGGGTAGAAAGTAGAGAACATTTATAGAACACAACTTCAGAGGATCTATTAATTCAGTTAAGTCTATTCACTATACTATGGTATGCAGGTGAGGCTCAAGAAGCGTTGGATGAGGAGGTACAGCAAATAGTTTTTGTCAAAGTGTCCCTTTTCTGTTAAAGAGATTATTACTGTGGGGACTGCATGTTTGGAAGGTTAAAACCGTGGTAAAATTGGAAAATACTGCCTGCAGAATGCTGGTTATGCTAATCATAACTTATACCCTTAAGACATTTATGACTCTCCCCGCCCTTGGCCATTTTTAGCTTTAGATCAGAAATAACAAAAAAGGATAAAAATAATAATTAGAGGTGGCTCATGTTAGCAAGATTTGGTTGACATTTGAATATGTCATTTATAAAACAAATAAATCAAATTTTGATCCTTATTATTTTATTATAATTATTTTCTCAAACTTAATAAACTACTAAATATAGATTATTTTTCCCTTATAAATACTAGGAAACAGGTATTCGTATTCTAAAATTTTTTTTTTTACTAATTTGCAATTCTTGAAAAAAGTTTTCACATTTAACAGCAACCAAATAGCAAATATTAGTTGTGCAAATATTTTTTAGGTGGTACATTTAACTGGGTCATAAATTATTTTGTTTACATTGGTAAGAGACAGGAACCAAAAATAGCTTCTCAATAGAAATTAATTCCACACTTTGAAGCAGTCATATTCATGTCTTATTCTGAATCATTACTGTTCCTTGAATTTTTCTGTTGCTAAACATTTATTTATTAAAAAGCACTGGAAGCCCCTGAGGGTAAGGTCCCCTAATTTGCAATTTTTCTGTCTCATATCCATGATTCCTCAATCAATACTGTTGATTTTAGATGCTACTGAAATCTGGAAGTGATTTCTTGCAAAAATTCCTCCAAAATCATTATGTCTTTTCTTTCCCTTCACAGGTTCTACAATATGGTAACACAATTTCTAAATAAATAATGAAGGATTGAGTCAGATTTATATAATTCATATGTAAGGTATATATTAAAATTATAGACTGCTTTGCAAACTTTACTGCAATAACATCCACAATATCTTCACAACAAAACCAAGAACACTTGGTAATATGTAATACAGTCACACAAGACAGACTTAGTTGAAGGAGGGGATCTTTAGGCCAACGACAAGCACCCAAGCAAAGTCTTATTTATGCAAACCAGTAATGGCTACTTCAAACACATGTTTATGTTAAGTGTTTTCATTGTATCATTGTATTATTTAACTCTCCCAACTATTCTGTGAGGTAAATGGCATAAAATCCATTTTACAAATGGACTCTGCATCATTATTAACAGTAGAGGAAAGAAGCAAGTGATTCTAGGCCTCTTTATTCTGTGTTCAATTTTATCATTGCTCTTATTTTTCTATTCCATGCAGTTGTTCATATTTTCTATAGATTTAAATTATTTGAAGAGCATAACAATGACTCCCTCTAAAAACTAAGTAGTCAAGTGATAAAAGATAACATTACGGTCATCCTGTATTAACTAGGTAAGAGTCAAACATGTCTGATGTTCGTTAGTCCTTGGTTGCTTCTCTGACATTATCAGTATGGATAAAATCACTCACTGGGGAAATTAAACAGCATTAAATGGCAATCCTGAAAGAAACTTCGTTATTTAAAATACTATGCTAAAATGACAAGGCAATCAAAGTTTGACAGGGCAAGCTAATTAGTATGCTAGACTTGAAATGTAAAACACCTCCATGGTTCTGATTCTAAAAAGTTCCCTATCATTTTAATGGGCATTTCACATAAATGCTCAAGCAAAGTAAACAGTGTTTAAGGCTAAGGTTTTTGTTTTTCACAGGTTTACACATCAAAATGGTATGCTAGTTTATTAAAAAGGAGCTACGTTTCTGAGGTCAAAAACTTTTCTGTACATGCTTTAAAATCATAAATGAAATCTAAGAACAATTTTTTTTTCATATAAGATAAATCCTACATTGTTTTGAAAAAGTACATTAAATGACTGCACTGTACACTAGACTTAAACTAGAAATATGGTTATTTCCTCTGAGTAAACATAGCAAAAATTATAAGAGCAAATGACAAAGGAAGTGCATGGGAAAGTGGTATACATCAATAAATGCACGGCTGCACTGCTTTTCAAATTCTTATTTATAGTTTCTCATTATATTGTGCCACAAGTAGAGTGTGCTACCTCAATATTTTTCTGACAAAACAAAAGCAAACTACTGTATTGTGAAAGATAAAAGCAAATGACACATAGCTTTCCTGGAAAATGACAAGACAATGCTCTCACTACAAAAGACAATCATCAGGTAACTAACTGCAAAATAAGGAAATAGGCACTGGTTTTAGAAAGTTTATGTCATAGAAATAAGTTTAAAGATTAATGAAATTTCATGTGAAATTAGAAGAAAACTTCAAAAGATTAATCATCTCTCTTTTAAACAAAAAGGTGATTCACTTTTTTTTTTCATTAAAAACCTACACACAGAACTAACTGAGGAGACTGTATTGTGAAAACATACCACAGCACACAGCAATGCTTGATCAAAATCAGCAATCAGGAGTAAAAAGAAGGCAGTGTTTTGTGATCATAATAGCAAATTCTGGAAGACAACCAAATATATCATCTGGCAGTTCAACAGCTGTTACAGCTTGGTAGTAATACCTTGGCATTTGTTATAAGCTATAACTTAGAAAAATTGATTTTTCATCTGCCAGATAAAAACCAAAATCTCCTTTTAACATTTTAATATTTAAATAAAATATATGTACTAGCCACTTTAATTTTACACATTTGACAGTGGAGCCACCAAAATAATTTTTCTATTTATAGTTTAATTTTACTCGAAATACTTGGCAGAGTTGACATGAGTAATAATGTAAATGTAATTTTGTTGAACTTCATTGTGATAGCACATTGGATTATCTGTTAACATCATTCTCAATAGCTTTTATCCTTCTTAAGCAGTTAAAACACTGGTTTTTTTAAAAGAACATGTCTGGGAACATCATTAGAATTTCATCATCGAGAGTACTGACAACTAAACTAACACATGAGCAAAATTACGTATTTTAGTGATCTAAGTATATACAATTATGATTAAAATATAAACCACCATAAAATGAAATTTTCTGCAAATGAGAAAAGTTTTTAATCCAGGCCACATATATCATTGAAGTGAAACAGAAGCTACAGAAAAAATAAGTTGCAACTTCAAGTGTAACTGGTTCTCTTAAGTGATACTGGGTCTTAATCTAAGACCTGATAAAATCTAAGGATATTTCTCATTAAGTAAGTTCTTTTTAAAAGCCTCTAATTCTGGCATTTGACTTAGATTTTGAAATGTCATAAAACATTTAGAATTCAACATTTATGCAATCCATTTTAGAAATGAAGTGGCAGGCAATATATCAAATTTTAAAATTATCAAATATAGGTACCTTTATGCCAATTGCTGTTTTCTTTGCTTCTGCTTTTAATTTAGTTGCTCGTAAAATAGGTTTGGTTTTTTTATAATCCTGTTTACCTAAAAAGAAATAATTTCAGACAATGAGCTATAATTCAAGTTTCATAGCCATCTGAAATGTCAAAGAACTTTTAAATAGAGTAAACATGGAACACAAAGTTGCAAAGTAATTCCCAGTTGCAGAAACCATAAACTTTTCACCCTAAAAGGTCAACTTTTCTTTTTCCTACTTTTTCAGGAAGAAGACTTGACAGACATATTCAGTTTCCTGTGAAGTGAATATCAACAAAGATTAAAAATATATATATATATCCCTTTAGAGAACAAAAGCAAAGAGCATCTGGAACATTTGGAGACAAATATGGAAATAAGTGAATATACATAAGATCCCATTAAATAGGTAAGTTAACTGTCTTCATCCTGGAGAAGGACATGCAACCCACTCCAGTATGCTTGCCTGGAGAATGCCCATGGACAGAGGAGCCTGGCGGGCTACAGTCCATGGGGTCACAGACAGTTGGAGACAACCGAAGTGACTTAACATGCAGGGAAACAATTTTGTCTTGGTAACTGAAGAGTAACCGTTTATTAGAAATTTTATTATGGATATTTCAAATATTCAATAACCGATTTGAGAAATATCCTCAAGCTTTCTCTAGGTAAGATATTGAAGACTGATCTGTAAATAATTCACTTTCAATTCATTAGAAAAAAATATTTAACTTCTGTTTGTTATCAGTGGAGGACAGAATAAATATGGCTCGATACATGATGCAGGGTAGCCATATTGAAATATTAGTTTCAATCTTCTTAACAGTTTATTAGAAATTTTATTATGGATATATCAAATATTCAATCACTGATTTGAGAAATATCCTCAAGCTTTCTCTAGGTAAGATATTGAAGACTGATCTGTAAATAATTAACTTTCAATTCATTAGAAAAAAATAATTCTCTTTGTTATCAATGGAGGACAGAATAAATATGGCTTGATACATGGTGCAGGGTAGCTATATTGAAATATTAGTTTCAATCTTCTTTTCCAAATTTAACAACCAAAAATGAACAAAATTGAGTTAGAGTCACAAAATTTGCTTTATTCTGTTTACCATCTGGTGACCCCACTAATGAATAACAAAAGAGCTATTACACAGTCTGTGAGGAAAATAGATTTAACAACAGTAACAACAAAAGCACTGACTAGAATAATATACATTTTTTTGTTAACCAAACTCTTAGCTAAGAATTTAGTCAAATGAATGTCATATATAAGCATATGTCATTCTGAGTGGGAATTAACATTTGACCATTTAATCTCTTTGAGTATTTTATATTCTCTTATTTGGCCACACTGAAGTAAATCTGAAAGCAGTTAATCTAAAGGATATCATCAAAGTGTAATGTGCAATATATTTCTTAATGAGTTTGCTAATGATTCAAAAGTATCTTTAAAATTCTATTAGATTTTTAGAATTAGAAATGGCAAGAAGAAGTGAGACAAATAGATTGGAATAATGAAGAAATGCCATATTTGTGTTTGTTAGATAAAAGTTATTTGTTACATAAAAATATTTGTTTGGTTGAAGAATTATGTTTTTATTAAAGAAGAGTGTATGCTATTTCCTTAACTGTATGGTATAACAATCATTCTGGATCTATGAGCATCCAGAAGTCTAATAAATATTATTTGATGGTAGAGCTTAACGATCCAGAAATGAGCCAATTTTAAGAATGTATATCAAATGATCTAAATTTAAATTATCCAATGAACAAAATACAGAAAAATATTACTCTGACCCATTTTAAATTAGGAACATTTAATTTTGCTGAAAAAAAACCTTGACAAATATTCACTCTGATTTCACATCTCAATAGTCAAACTATTCATGTCATTATTCCTGCTGAGATATAAACAGTTCAGAACAGTGAAACTGGTGACACATCAAATGTCTCCACTCATGGTTACAAAGCAAGTTTCTAATGAGAATCTAAAGAGAAATTTCATTATTATGGATATGAAGCTAAGGACTCATTTCTTATATTATCTTATATATGCCCTATAATAAACTCTGGATGCAAGAGGGACAAAATAAATAAACAAAAAAGAATTATCTTAACACATTTGTTTTTCATAGACATACAATATTTTGGATGATGTGTCTGTCATAAAATAGATACAAAAATGCCTAAAAGAGTCAATGTTAAAGTGGGATTCTATCATTCTACTTCACTTGCCATTGGTTAAATAATATTCTATTTCAATTCAACTCCTATAATCTCTTAAAGAGTAATATTTATAGATTTATATTAAAGTTGATACAAACATTTGAAGCTATATTTATAATAAATAGTTTTAAAAATTATTGCACACCTCATACTTTAAAAAGTGCATCTGTCATTAATATAGCATTCTCTTTGCTGACTATGATATCCAAAAGTATATATTGCAAAATGTGGTTTCATTCTACTAAGGGAAAACATTTACAGGGACATCTGCTAAGTTCTTTGTAACTAAAACCAGATCTTTCCTTTAGACCCAATTAGAATTTTAACATTTTAATTTTTTATTGCTTCAAAAAATACCTATGCCCACATGATCATAAAAATATAAAAAAAGCTCTTGACTTTACTTACTTACACCTAGGAAAAAACACTTTTATATAATCTAGATTTTATATGTAGGCAAATTCTGAAATACAATTGGATCTGATTCTATCAGTAACACAATTACCAAAGTAGCAACTTAGCAATTGCTCACTACATTTTATATGAGAGAAATTCAAGCCCATGAAGCTAACACAGGGTCTCAATCATCTCATTTTTCTCTTCTCATTTTCACTAATCATCACATTTCCATATTTGAATTTCCCATGATATAGTTTAAGTAGCAAAAGTTTTCTCCCTCAACAAAAGCATCTCCATAATTTCTGATGGACTGATTTATGCCTTTTTCCAACATAATCCTATTATTTCTTTTTATTTTTAAATTATCATACAGTAAAGTCAACATTTGTTTCTTTTGGTGTACAGTTATATGAATTTTAATGCTTATATACAGATTCATGTAATTATTACTACACTCTGGATATAGAAAATTTATATTGGGTTGGCCAAAAGCTTCATTTGTATTTTTCCATAACATCTTACAGAAAACTGACACTATCCTTCTACACTCACCCTCCCTCTGACCCATAATTCCTGGCAACAACTGATCTACTGTCTATTTCTCTAGCTTGGTCTTTTCAATAATGTGGCAATAATGTGACAAGGGCTTTTTTATTCAGTATCAGTTCAGTTCAGTTCCTCAGTCATGTCTGATTCTTTGTGACCCCATGGACTGCAGCACGCCAGGCTTCTCTGTCCATCACTTACTCCTGGAGCTTACTCAAACTCATGTCCACCTAGTCGGTGATGCCATCCAACCATCTCATCCTCTCATCCCCTTCTCCTCCTGCCTTCACCCTTCCCAGCATTAGGGTCTTTTCTAATGAGTCAGTTCTTCCCATCAGATGGACAAAGTATTGGAGTTTCACCTTAAGCATCAGTACTTCCTATGAATATTCAGGACTGATTTCCTTTAGAATTGACTGGTTTGATCTCCTTGAAGTCCAAGGTACTCTCAAGAGTCTTCTCAAAACCAGAGTTCAAAAGCATCAATTCTTCAGCACTCAGCATTCTTTATGGTCCAACTTGCACATTTATGCATGACTACTACAAAAGCTATGGCTTTGACTAGACAGACCTTTGTCGGCAAAGTCAAGTCTCTGCTTTTTAATATGCTTTCTAGGTTGGTCATAGCTTTTCTTCCAAGGAGCAGGCATCTTTTAATTTTATGGCTGCAGTGATTCTGGAGCCAAAGAAAATAGTTTTTTACTGTTTCCATTGTTTCCCCATCTATTTGCCATGAAGTGATGGGACCGGATGTCATGATCTTAGTTTTCTGAATGTTGAGTTTTAAGCCAGCTTTTTCACTCTCCTCTTTCACTTTCATCAAGAGGTTCTTCAGTTTTTCTTCACTTTCTGCATTAAGGGTGGTGTCATCTGCCTATCTGAGGTTATTGATATTTCCCCAGAAACCTTGATTCCAGTTTGTGCTTTATCCAGCCTGGCACTTATGATGTACTCTGAATATAACTTAAATAAGCAGGGTGACAATATACAGCCTTGACAAATTCCTTTCCTGATTTGGAACCAGTTTGTTGTTCCATGTCCAGTTCTAACTGTTGCTTCCTGACCTGCATACAGATTTCTCAGGAGGCAGGACAGGTGGTCTGGTATTCCCATCTCTTGAAGAATTTTCCCCAGTGTGTGGTGATACACACAGTCAAAGGCTTTCCCCTAATCAATAAAGCAGAATTAGATGTTTTTCTGGAACTCTCTTGCTTTTTCAATGATTCAATGGCTGTTGCCAATCTGATCTCTGGTTCCTCTCCCTTTTCTAAAACCAGCTTGAACATCTGGAAGTTCACAGTTCTTGTACTGTAGAAGCCTGGCTTAGAGAATTTTGAGCATTACTTTGCTAGCATGTGAGATGAGTGCAACTGTGTGGTAGTTTGAGCATTCTTTGGCATTGCCTTTCTTTGGGATTGGAATGAACATGGACCTTTTCCAGTCCTGTGGCCACTGCTTGAGTTTTCCAAATTTGCTGGCATATTGAGTGCAGCACTTTCACAGCACCATCTTTTAGGATTTGAAATAGCTCAACTGCAATTCCATCACCTCCACTAGCTTTGTTCGTAGTGATGTTTCCTAAGGCCCACTTGACTACCCATTCCAGGATATCTGGCTCTAGGTGAGTGATCATGTTTATCTTTTAAAATATTGCCAAATCATCTTCCAGTGTGGTTGCATTCACACCAGCAACAAATAAGAGTTCTGATAGTTTTTCATCACCATTAGCACTTGGTATTATTGTATCTAGGTTCTCTCTTTTTTCAATGTATGACTGCCCATAGTATTCCCTTATGAAAGTTAAAGTTGCTCAGTGATGTCTGACTCTTTGCAACCCCATGGACTATACAGACCATGGTATTCTCCAGGCTACAATACTGGAGTGGGTA